CGCTCCGCGCGGTCCTCGACCTCCGCTCGCTCGGTCACGCACGGCGCCGCGCGGCGTCCAGCGCACGCGGGCGCGCTCTCACGCCCGTCGCCCCGCCCCCGCCCCCAGCCAATGCTCTTGGCCGGCCGCCGCTGCGCGGGTGCTGGGCGCACAGTGGGCGAGAAAAGGATCTGAAGCGGATTTCGCATGTAGTTAGTGACATAAACAATGCCATGTTGATTGATTGATTAGCGATTCCAGCCGCGTCAAGTACTAAGCTCATTATTCTCGTAAGTGTGTGTATTTTTTATCGCGGGAGGAGGCAGTAGGGAGGACAGGATCCTCGTTGAAGGCTGGGATTCGACGCTGACCTACACGTCGACTTGCGCGGTTTCCCCAACCAGGTATCTCCATCTAGCGGGGCACCGCCACAGCTCTAAGCTCCTGACTAGTCACCCGATGTGTGTTGTAGTGTAGTGTGTTTACGTGTGTTTGTGTGCAGTGGATGGAGTAGGACAATGAACAGGAAGGAAAGATCGCGCGCGATCCGTGGCCCGTTTCGGAACTGCTTCGGCATTCGCCTGGTGTTGATCGCAGAAACCACGCAAAACTTCTGATTAGAGCAGCCGGCCGCTAGAATTCTTCTCCAGACAGCGACTGAATTCGACCTAGCTGACAAGCTAGTGTCGAAAATACTGCCACCGTCGGGACTCTAATCTAGGAACTCCACATCATTAGCACATCAACAGTGACATCAGTTGATGCCCTGAGCCATTTATGTCGATTGTTGCCGGTCCTCACATCCAAGGTTAAATTAACGAATTTAAACGAACATAAAAAGGATGTATCAATTTATTCGCACTCGGAAGGTGGTATCGTATGCACTGTATGTCGTGGGACGTTGATTTTTGGCACCGACACCTTTATTGCAACGCCCAATAGAATATTGACACAGCAAGTCAACGCAGCAACATAAGCCTGAACGGGGACTGGACGGACGCCGCACCGCCTTGGGATAGCGGTGTTGCTGAGGCGATAACGAAACTCAACCTTTCCGAGAACGTCTTGCGAATGATGACGCTGAAACTGATCACTGCTTAACCCTGCGGCCGACCTCACTGCTGAAACATTGGGGCTCTTTCTGATTCGTTGTTTCCGTTGGGGTGGGAGATTCGATTTCCTCCCCTCCACAAAAATAAGGGTTTTCCGTTTAACATTGAGTGCCGTCTCTTATATATACTCTCTGTTGGGGCGTGTGCCCTTCTACGCGTTGCCGGAAGGGCGGAAGGTATTTTGAGCAAGTGATCTCACACCTTTGTTTATTGTTTTGCTGTTAGCAGCTTCTGTTGCTTTTGTGATTTTTATATCCTAAATAGTCTTGAAATATGCTAATAAAATTGCGTTTATGACCTCAAAAATCCGAAATATGCTCTTTAATATGCAATAAAAATTAACAATATTTCATTTCCTGTATAAATCTCTCTTGATAAAATTCAGGAGAAGTATGCTTTGATTGAAAAATATATTTTTAAACAAACATAATACAATCTAACTTCTCGGGAGAAATAATTGAAGTAAATATTCACCATAATGAAGTACATTTTATGCCTTGGTGCACTTCTTCTGTCTGGTTTAAAAAAATATATATCAAGAAATATCTTACATTTACACAAGTATATTATCATGTATAGAAAAGGGAAAAAAACACAAGCTGTAACAAGCGCATTCTAATCAATGAACGCTCACAAATAATAGTAGTTTCTATGAAACAATGAAACGTTTTAGACATAAGTGTCTATTAGAACGAAATATGCAAAAGATATTTACAGAATTATGCACCAACAGGAAAAATCGGCTGAATACGCACTAACATGTTGGTCTACATAGCATCCAATTCGAACCAAATGTCAAGAAATTTCACTTAGCTATGTCCTGAAGCAAAAACATGCAAAATCATAGAAGTCCTCTCCTTGCATATCGTTACCCATTGAGCGTTCGATTTCAGCTAGATAGTGGTGACGAAAAACCAATAAGGTAGGGGTTCGAATCTAGTACCTTCCAACCTGTGGAGTCGCAATTGAGGACACGCAACAAAACACGCAACACGTATTATATTGTCGACACTCGGAGGTTTTACACCTTTTGGAAAGCTCATTCAACCATTTTATCCGAAACCTTTCACATGTATTGTCGCACTCTTTCTTGAGCTCTCATTTCGCTAAATGTTAGGGGAGTGGAGGGCTGGTTATTTTGACGACAGGAATATTGTATCAAATCTGTAGCTCATTTTTCGATACGAAGTAGTATCTGCTGGCGAACATTTCTGGTTATCAGATTTTTTCAACAACACTCGTTACTACCATTTATTCTTAATTCAACTAATGTTGTTAAAAGAGTGAGAGTAGTCTAGGGTCTGAAAACGGGCACTTGTAATAGGCTCACCGACTACGGTAGTGAGGCAACGTCATGAGCCGCAAAGACGTTAGTGGTATCTTATCATACAGTAGATAGAGTGATATCAGCGAATTGCATTGCTTCGGGCTTATGATGAATCGTTAGCTCTTGCTCCCCAGAGATTTCCTCATCCTTTGCAAATACTCGTAGATTCGAATCGCAAAGTTTCAGTTTCTGTTATTTTACGTAAAATATTATTGAGATATAAGAGGAGTATCGATCGTTTCAAACTGTATTACATGTCCAAAATTTTAAATTTTACAAAATAAAGCAGAATATCAGACTCTTAAACAGTTACGTAAAAGTGTTTTAAAAAACACAAAAGTGTAAACTTTGTCATTAAATACTTCGAATTGGTGTGTGTAGGGAATTAAATCACTTAACATTTTTTATTGGTGTTGTTAGGGTGGTTGTTATGGTTTGCTACAACTACTAGAGGATAATAAATATTTGAGATATTTTATTGAACATTTGTGGTGAGTTTAGATTGATGTTTAATAACATGAAATCATAATTTACTAAAATGTTATAATCATTACAAAACAAAAAAACTTTCAAAATTAAGATTAATGCCTTTATTTTTGGAGCGTTTGTGCAAAGAGCATAGCTACTCAAATGTTCACCATACATTTTTCTTCTAAACTGTCACATAGTGTAGCAGTGCTGTTTTCACTGGGGGCAGATTCTGAATTCAAGGCAATGAAATTTTGGAGCGATAAAACTGGAAGTTGATTTCATTTCTCCAGTCTTCCCCCAAATCTCTTCCTCATATATGTCTCAAAATTACTTTTCTTTACTCCAATAATCTTTCTGGTAGATAGCATCTTTGCAACGAACTCTCCGGTATCTTTGCAACGAACTCTGGTAAATACCGTAATAATTATCTGGTGTTAAAATATCGAAATTCCTCTCTCTTTCTTTTTTATTTTCTATTATTGCAAAAAACTGTTGGGAGAAATGGGTGATCCTTTTCAGGGAAGAAAACTGTGATATTCGGATTTAATATCTTATTGTGTTACCCAAGGTTGATTGCAGTTTCCAGAGATTACTTTTTTACCGATTTACAATCACCGTGTAAATATGACTGAAAATAATTGTATTTCATGTGGTCGTTTCTCCTAATTGTAATGTGAAGATAGTGTGCATCTCATCGAAACTTTTGCAATGAAGAGGTATGAGGGACAATGGAAGTTAAATTAAAAAAAGAGTAGCCACAACTCTAGTGTGATGTCAATAGTTCGGTCATTGGATGTTCTTAGTGTCAGTTTGTATGAACTTTTGAACCCTGATGGTTATTGTCACAAAAATGTCACAAAATGTAGGCACTGCTTCTTATCCATTTGAAGATATGTTGGGAAAAAGACTTCGTTATTAAATCTGCTCGCTACATCTTACAGCATATGATTGAAATGAAATCTTACAGCATTACAGGTGCAATAAATCACTGTCTTGAACATGACATTCATACTCCACATACTACATTCTGCATCTGCTGTTATCACATCTGCCGTCCGTTCCTACGACCGATACCGGCAAGCCCCCGCCTATCATTATTAGTCGGCGTGATGGATCGGTCTGCGACACTCGAGTCCAACTTATTAGGCGTACCTCAAGGTATCATTTCTTCACTCTTATCTCCGTCGACAGTTGAAACCCATCTCATCTATAAGAACTCACGTAATAGGCCGTCCTCCATGTTGGCTCGCGATAGCTGAGACTGATACGTCAACCGATTGGGTGGGCAGGACCGCCGCCGCTGCCGCCGCGCCGTCCGTTGACCGCGCGTCAGTCGGCCGGGTACTCGCGCGGGGTTCGCTTCGGCACGGCACGGCACGGCACGGCACGGCACGGCACGGCACGGCGCGGCGCGCTGGAAAGCGAGAAGGCGGCTTCGTTCGGAAAAGCGGCTTGCAGTCGCGGTCCACTGCGCGGTTTCCCCCGGAGCGTCGACGGCGGCGGCGGCGGTGGTGGCGTCGAGCGGTTTCTTCGCGGTGGTGTTTTCGGCTCGCGCGCGCGAGGAGAGCGAGAGCGTGGCCAGGGGGCGTGGCGAGGGCGGAGAGGCGGGGGAGCGGGGAGCAGACCACTTTCCCGCGAGCAGCGAAGGGCGACGCCGGGCGACGCGCTAGGCGCCGTCGTTGGAAGGCGCAGCTCCCCACGGTGCCGAGGCGCTGACAGGTGAGTCGGACGGACATCCCGGCGGTTTTCGCCGGACTGTGCTTTCCGAAGCACACGTACACCTCGGTTGCGGACAATTAAGAGCGTACACGGTTATTGGGGATGTATTTTCGCAATTTGAATACGTGCTTTATGCTTTTGGAGACGCGCATTGCAACTTGTGCAATGCTTTTGAATGCGTGTGCTTAAGCAATTTGGATACGTGCTTGTTTTGAATAGTGTGTGGGTCTTTGTGAACGTGGTGTCCTCGAATTTGTGATGATGGTGACGTGCGGGTGTGGATTGAAGTGGGGTGTTGAGTGAGACGTATCGCTGCGGATGTTTGGACCCGTAGTAGTTGGTTACCTCGGTTGTGAACTCGAAGGCTTGATCGTTTTGTTTTCGATGTGGTGCTGTGTGTCACTTGAAATACAGAAAACTACGTGCTAGAAAGGTACAGGTCTTTGGCGATTGTCGTGTCAGACTGTGGTTTGGTAGTTCACGTTTTTTAAAATATGTTGTCATCGAAATACTCTATACCAGACGAAATTGCAAAATATTTCTACTGTGTCAGTGTTAGAAATTGCCTGTATTTTGCACGACTTGGCATGGAAATTAACAAGTTTGAAGAATCGGCATTACTGCTTCTTTCACTGCTTCGAGAAAAGTTCTTTCAATGAATTGAAGCCCCAATGTTCACCTTTCCGACAATATTTGACCCATCTATTCAGTTTAAATTATCGAATGTTCGAAGTATGTGGTTAAAGCACATGTGCCAAATAATTCTGACATAATTTAGTATTTATGGAGTACTTCTTCAAACTTACATCTATCGTTAAACTACGAGGTGCATAAGGTTATGCGTTGACTTTGACAGAGTACCCAGAATACTAGCTTTCAAGTCTTACACCAACGGATTTTGGTGGGAATGATATGGCAAATATTAATCAATCTTGGTGTTGATTCAGTTCGAAAAAAAAATTGAAGCTCTCTGAATGGAAGAAAATTGAAGTGTTCCCGGTAGCCATAAAAGGCTGGAACAGTGTTGCTGATAACACGTCATCCGGCATACGCCGCCTTAACCTTGGTTGAAACTCAATGAGCTGTCAGCCGGTCTGTCAAGTCATATATTGTTCTTGCTTGAATAACCTTCGGCGAAGAAAAACAGTTTCGATGCTGAGGAAACCTTGCGATATTGTGTGCTGCAATAAGATCACTCCAACTGTAAAGTTCGTTCGAGATATCTGTGCTCTCGGTGACCGTTAAATTGCAGACCTTAGCTCACTCTGTAACATTGTGCACAGATAACTCGTGCGAAATGTACAATCCATTATTATGACTTCACGTTAATATCGCTTATCGACATTTACATTCTTGGAGTTCTGTGACATTAGTATTCGTAAACTGTTTCATACATATCCTCAATTCATTCTTAATGTACAATAATAACTTACATCATCGGCCTTTGTATATAAGATCTTCAGGCCAAATCGGGTCTTGGCAATCGGGGTCAAAAGCCGGAGACTCGTAAATACATTGTTGAAAAAATCGATCTTAAGTGTCATGTCCCGCAGAAGATAGCTTGAACTCTAGGTTACGGTTACAGAGAAGTTCAAATGAAATATGCAATTTTACTTCTCAAATGTTCATTTATTCTTTCATTCATTTATTCTTTCATTCATTTATTCTTTCTTTCATTCATTTATTCTTTCTTTCATTCATTTATTCTTTCTTTCTTTCATTTATTCTTTCTTTCTTTCATTTATTCTTTCTTTCTTTCATTTATTCTTTCTTTCATTTATTCTTTCTTTCATTTATTCTTTCTTTCATTTATTCATTCATTCATTCATTCATTCATTCATTCATTCATTCGTTAATTCATTCATTTTCACTGGTTTAAAAACATTAATTTTTTATTGTCTCCCTAATTGAACGTTTTGATCTCGTTTTGCTTCTTGACACAAAATATGTTAAGAATAATTAATAATACATTTTTCGAGATAAATGAAAATCATTATTATATTCTTTGCTTGTTGGGAGCCTTTCAGCCTCTTGCTTTCCTCGAGCTCCCCTCCTCATTTCTCCAGAAAGTCGACGCCGCTGGTCCTCCGCCCCTGCACCTCTTCCATTGTCAGTGCACAAGAAAAGAGTGGAGTAGTTTATTTCGGAGCGAAAATCAAAGTATTTACGTTAAAAAAATTCTTGAATTATCATAAAATGCTAACTAGTACAAATACTTATTTTTAAACTCAATTATTTATATTGATTCCTGTTTTTGAGACGATCAGCAACGAGATTCTGAAAGATCTTTGAAATATAATTGGTTTATTTCGCATCTTAGGGATGATGTAACGTTCCTAGGAACACTATAAGGAACGTAACATGTGATACAACGTGGTTAATGTTACTCACAAAAGACAAATCAGTTAAGAAATTACTCAATAGAATTAGAACGAACAATTTAAAATGTAAATGAAATATTAAAAATTAAAAACTCGATACTCAAGACTTGTATTATCGCTCATCTTGTATTCCACGTTAAATTATGCGCAGATTATTGCAGTTACTTGCATTTTTATAAAATTCTCTAAAAAAAACAAATAAAAATACTTAATAAAGATGAAGACAATCATTCTGTTGTTATATTTTCTAAAAGTATTTCTTTTCTTGATTCTAAAAGACGATTTTTGAGATATGTAATTTTGCTTGTGTCAGAGTAAGAGGGCGAGGAGATAAAGCTGTTTGTAGCACGCTGCATAGTTCTAACTAAAAGTATCGAGATGCAGATGTGCAGCGATGGGCATTGCGGTTTCGTTCACCTTTCGCGGCCACTGAGGGCGAAAAGCCTCTGTTTGGTTTATTTGAGTGCAATTTGAATACCTCTCGCGCAACTCACGCAAGCGTCACTCACGTCTGGAATTCGGCAGCCTACGCCCCTGTCGATTTGGCACAAGTTTTAGCCTATATATTTGCTAGGGAAGAATGGGGCCAATTTCATAGAAAAACTATGAAATATTACGAAATATTTTAGAGAAAGTTTGAATTGTCCTACAGGATGTGACAGTGGGTTATTGGACTTCGTGTCGGCGTTTTTGCCGTACTTCACAAATTGGACTTGCGCGGAAATAAGTTGCTCGGTTTATTATTTTTTTTAATAACTTAAAACCATTCAACTTCACGAATATATATTTTTGCTCTTTGGATTTTAGGTACGTCATTAAAAGTCAGTAGCATAGACTAAGGAGGTATCATTACTCTATGCTAGTAGTATTTATCTTTCAGATGATAATCTTCGTCCATTTCATCGTTCTTTCTTGTCCTTCACATTTCCATCAGATTTCTCCTTAATATTTCTCCCAAACGGCGTCAACTCTACGTAATGAGTGTGGATAAATTTGCGTCACACCTCCCAAATATAATCTTAAGTCTGCAAGCATTAATTTATTACGTAACGTAAGTGATTGCAAGTCCACTACTTAATGAACGCATAAACGTCATTCCCGTTATCGAGAACTTTAAAAATGAAGCAACCTGCGCGCGATGATTCAGGATAGCCGGGTAGTATTTCATGTGGCTCTAATTCGCAGCAATTTTCCGGCGCATTAAGGTTTGCATATTCATCGGGGCGGTGGCTCTAAAGAGGGGGGTGAGGGGGGGTCGAAGGGGCGCGAGCAGGATGCAGCTCATGAGCGCGGGCGACTGGGCATCTGATAGGCCGCCGCCGATGCGCCTCGAACCCCATCGCGTGAGCGCGTGCACTTTGGAGGCTGCAGGCGAGGGTATTGGCAGCTGCTCGGCTGCCCGGGAGACGCCGCGTCCTTGGCGCAGGTGCCAACGTTTTGATCACCCGAGAGCGTAGGCTTCCGCGGCCGGAGTCAGTATTTACTAGGCTGTCCGGGTGACGCCGCGTCCATGGCGAAGGTACCGACGTTTTGGTCTCTGCGACTCTCCTAGGGCGAAATGCGAGCTCTGCAGACTAGGATCTCCGCGAGTTGGGGCGTCGTCGTATAATGAAACCGGTGGTGCTACAACAAGACGTATTTTTCTGCATTGTTTCTCCCGTTTGCCATTTTCAAAAATTCAGTGAGTTCAACGTAAATCGATCTGCGCCAATTTCATAAGCGCACGCCGTACTATCCATGGAAAAAATAAAGGAAAAAAACTTTAATTCGTTTTTGAGAAAATCTTGTTTTTAAAATTGCTCTTATTTCACGCTAATTTACCCCAAAAGTACTCATGTTTTGAAAAATTTGTACATGGCTTCATTTAAAGATTTAATTTTGAAACAGGAAGCATGAAGAAAATGTTTCTAGCTTCGGTATTGCAGTTAACGCCGAAAAAATTCAACTTTTGCAAACATCGAAAATGCAAAAAATAGGATATACGCCATTTTTATGAGCGTTCTTTGCTCTATATGAGAAAAAATTAAAGAAAAAATTGGGAGCATTTTTGAGAAAATAGTTGAAAGTGTAATGCAGAAAAATATTCGTTTCAAATTCAAGAGGCCGCGATATCAGACCGATCGCTCGAGAAATATAAAGTTTGGTAAAAATTCTGCTCAAGATACAGCCGCTAGCGTTGTTCACAGACGAACAGATGTTTTGCCGTCAACCAATTTTTCGGAATCAACCCAAAAAAGCAGGATTCTTATCACACGTGTTTCAGGAAGTCACTTACTATATTCCGAAACAGAATTGTCGACTTTTTCTGAATTAGATACTCACCAAACGCTTTTTCTGTCGAAAAATCGCCTTTTTGGATACAGCAATTCAGCACGTTATACTACGTAAGTAGTATGCAAGAAAGTATAAAGACGAAAGAACTTGTCGAGAAAACAACGTCAGTTTCGGGAAGAATCAAGTTTTTCGCACCTTACTGGAGCACCAACCTCTCTCTCCTGAAACCGGCGTTGCTGCTAGCTTCTGGAGAAGAGCTAAAGATTAGGCCTGCTATTGATGATTTGTACTTGATCTTTCGATGTCTCAACATCCACGAACGCCTAACATCTCTGCAGTCTTACTATGCCTTGAGGGTGCGTCAATCAACCCATGGCCTGCTGTAATCATGCGTATGGGGATAGGATTCTTTCAAGGCAGGAAGATCTCAGGTACGAGACCGTCATTAGTAATGACTATGCCACTTTTGGATTGGAAGACAGGAATCGCACGCTCTGTTGACGTCGTGGTTTTCGAAGAATCGCACGCGATCCTTCGTCCTCCATCCTTGTCGATTTTCTCTTCAGCCATGTTTCCGCAATGCTTTGAACCCCCACGATGTTCTACGACTGTCCCAGCCCCGTGTTGTAGAAAGACTCCGGCAGTTCTGTGAATACGCTGAGTAAGGGCTACCTTCAAAATGGACTGTGACGCCAAGCGAAAGAGAACCAGAAGAAGAAGAAGAAACAAAAAGAAAAAGGGGGAAAGGAAAAAAAGTCAGCAAGAGTATGTTTGTAACGTGCCGCGTCACAGCGACTGGAGTGTTGTCAATCTCTGCGGACAACGCGAAAGATAGTTCGAGAGTCAACGGGATCTCCTGCTCCACTTTCCAGATGCGCTTTAATTTTTCACACAGTCACCGAGAAGTGTCTGTCGTCATCCTGAGGAGCAGCATTGGGACCAGGGTTCGGCCCTCATCCGATCCAAACGGAATTAATGATCGGCAAATTGGGTTCGAAGTAGATTTTTTCGGGGCACACCCTGTTTCCCCGATTCTCATACCATCATCTTCTCAATCTTCTCAATAGTCACGCCAATTTTTCATCTAATATTCATAACTACGGAATCTCGTCGCATGTGCCTTTCTAAAGATGCTCGTCGACAGTCATGTTGAGACCATGCTTCGGAACTACGGCCATTGTCTCATCTCTCCGAAAGTTCATTCTATTCGATTTAAAAAATAAATAAAAACTGGGCCGTGGAAACGCCGCGCAGAAGGTGCAGTGCGCGTGGGATGTAGGTGGTGAGCGGAAGCGACTGGCTGTGTGGCGCTCTGGCGTCGGCGATGCACCTCAGAACGGACTCGCCCCGCCCACTCTTCACTCCGCCGGCGCCCCCCCCCCCCCACTTGCTTGACTGCGTCTCCTCGGAGAGTCT